AATGGGACACAGCACTTGGATTACCATGTTTATGGGTTTGACTCAAACTGGCTACCTGGCCTAAGCTTTCTGATCTGTGTACATGAATTAAATGGAAGATGAATGCTTGTTTTTAATGTGCAAGAGTAATTCCTCTCCACTGTGCCCAACACTAAACATGTCAGTGGCAGAATCTGAAGGCAGCCTAGAAGAGAAGTGGGATGCAGGCAGATGTGAAGCTCCTACTGCTTTCCCCCTCCACTAGTATGTCAACTGAGGAACTACTGATCTTGGCAGGCTGATTTAAGCTTTTGCAAATACCAATCATTGGGAGCATATCATGACCTAAATTAAAATACAGAAAGTATTAAGTATCTCATAACAAATTAGACAACAGCCCAAAATGCACTATGAGGAGGAAAAATAATACAGGAAAAAAATATAAGAAAATTTGTAAGTTACTTAAAACCCATACACAGCTAATTTCCACTTATAAAGAAAGTGATTTGTCATGGACAAGAAATTAGGATCTTAAGAACTCCGAATGCATCAATTGGTGTTTCTAAGCACAGTTTTATGAATGTTTTGCAGTTTGTGTTTATAATATTTTCCTACGCAACATAATGACTTTTCTCAAAATAACCGCATTTGCACAAGAAGTTTTGCTACCACAGAAAATCAATTAAAACACTAATCCCTAATTAAGAATATCTTATTACAAATATTTTGAAGAAGTGTTGTATGCATGCAAATACACAGTGTTTTATGCTCAGCAGCCTCACTGGTCCAATCAGAACATGTGAATTTAAGACTGAAAGCTTGTTAGGTGCTAACATGAAGACCTAAATCTCACTCCTGCAAAAATACCATCAGTGTTACAGGAAATTGCACTGATGAACACAGAATACTGACCAAATGATGAATTAAAAATGAAAAGCAAAACACAGTACTTGCAGCAGGCAATAAAAGAACAGCAGCGACATAAGCCTCAACAACCCAAACAACAGTCACAATTGATTCAAATATCAATATACTGTCTGCTATGGATTCAAATCAAAGGTATCCCATGAAACAGTCAAAAGAAAAAGGGGAATCTGAAACCAAAGTAGGGCTGACAGCATCACAATCTTCCTAGATGTCTCTACCATCTTTTATGTCTTTATAGGTAAAGTCTTATTAAATACAACTACATAAAACCACCAAACTACATGAGTTCCTTTGTTTGTTTTTAATTGGCACAAGTAACATTTTCCTAGCCAACAGCAGACCAATTTGAAAGAAAAAGCTGGCATACTCAGAACACTTGAACACCAAGTCACACAAAGCAAAGAAAAAAGAGGCTTTTGACTAGTTGTATGTCTTCCAAAATCCACCTGGATGCAGGGAACAGGCACTAATTCGAATAGTGTAATAGTACAGATATCTGCTTGAAATAAATACTGAAAAAATTTTGCTGGAATATGATATATTGTACAGGCAATCATTCTTTACTTCAGTCTAAATAAGCATTTGCTACCAAATATATTTTCCTTATATATTTAAGCAAAAGACTATCTTATATTCAGTTTCACAAAAAGGGACTTTAAATAAGTCGACTGAATACTTTGGGAAAGTTTATGAAACAGCATCAAGGAATTTCCCCATCAGAAAGTTCAAACTCCAACATCACAGCAATTCTCTGCTCTTCTCTCTGGTTTTTCTCAAGTCATTAAAAATCCTCCAAGTCTGTTCCTGCTCTTGGAAAATCTCATGGGGGAGCATCATGCTCCAGTGCTCAGGAAGATCATGAAACATTAAAAAAAAAAACAACACATAATTCAGGAAACTCTATATAATTTGCTCTGAATCTCAGCTAGGCCACATTTGCTCACTACATCTCCTCTCCCTCTTTCAGGGTACTCCCTATAGTCTTTCCTTCCTTATGCCACGCTAAAGCCTCAGAATAGTAAATGAAGAGGCTTAACAGTCCCAGAAGGAGCCAAGTGCACCAGTATTACATAACAGTAGTGAGCTGAGCACATTTAATCTCCACAGGCCTGCAGACATAACCTTCCAAAATTCATTGCTTCTACGACTGCCTATCAACTGCCTACTCAAGCATGCAGAAGGGAACATTAAAAACACAGAGCAGCGATAGCTGAACACACCACCAGCACACAGCAACCTCCTCAAGCTCTCAAAGGTTGAACACAATAGGGAAAAAAAAAAAAGGACACAACCTCATATGGAAAGTTTTCCAAAAAGAATCAGCAATTTGGGACTGGGGGGGACACTTTTCAAAGCAAACAACTTGTATAGATAGTAAAAATGACCCACCATAATGTTGTTACTTTCCTGCCACAATAAAGAGATATAACACACCACAAAAAACTATGCAGAAGGCAGTGGTGTATCAATCTTTTCAGTAAGGAAAAAACCACCTGTTTTTCTTGTTATCTTACACAAATTTACTAGATCCATGGGCAGTAAAAATAACAATGCTTTATAAACAAACTGTAGAACTCAAGAGAGAAGGACACAACATCTTTCAGGCAATAACTGCAGCAAGGAAGCACGAAGGCACAAAGTCAGCACCACTGCCACTGGAAAAAGGGACTAAATTAGAGTGGCAATAGCAAGTTTTTCTGTGGGTGCTCAGAACCCAAAAAAAAAAAAATAAAGAGAAAAAGAGACTGATGCTTGGTAATGCCTTAAATGACACACTTGGCTAAAAAAAAAAAAAAAAAAAAGCAAATCCAGGAAAACTATGTAGGGATTTAGAAAAAAAAAAGAATAACAAGGTACCAAGTTTACTAAGCATAAAATATCTAAGAACCCCGTTATTAGAACTTTCAAAGTAGTCATTTTGGAGAGGCAATTTCAATTAACCGCCTGCCATCTTCCCTTAGTACTACATAACTAGGAAAGTGAAGAAGGAAGGACAGGCCCTATCACCCAGAGGCCAACTTAAGTGCTGTCTGTGCCTCCCTGACACAGACGGAGTCAGGAGCACTCTACATTTTAATAACATCTCTAGTTAAATGCAGACATAAAAAAGTTCACTTGGTTAAGCAATTACATCAAATGGGGGGGAAATGTTGGCACAACACAGCATTTTTTGTAAAGTGTCTGCTGTAGAGTGCCAGATGTATTAAAAGCAACTGTTTTCCAAGTTTGGAAAACATTAAATTTGTTTCTGCTTCTTTTTTTTCAACACATCCAAGAAGTCTGCAGTGGGCAAGTTTTTTTTCCCCAAAAGTTTTGTTTTGCTAACTAAATTAATTAAAAGGCCTACATTTACCTACTGAATACTAAAATTAGTCTTCTGACATCCTCCTCTAGGCATCCTAGAAAAAAATACCAGTCAGGAAGGAACACAGCAGCCCTCAAATTACTCTTGCTGGTACAGGTGTAACTGCAGGCTCCCAGCGCAGGAGAGGAGACACACAACAGAGAAACCCGAGACGGGAGCTCACCACGCAGGCAGTGAGACCCCCAAACTGTGAGTCCTCATAAGACAGCCTCACACGCCATCATGCTGCACCCTTTTCACCATCTCTGCTCCTCCAAAGCACGTATAAAGACACAGCTTCTCACAAATTTTGCCACTGCTCCTCTACACTCCGCATCTTCAGAGGGATACGGACGAAGAAATTCCGGTCCCCTGTGTGCAACCACCTGCACGTCACCTCCCAAGCTGCCAGGTGCTCCCACATGCGCCTGAGGGCACAGAACACACCAAAGCTGAGCCTCGGCTTCAGGTAACGTTTTCGACTTACAAAGAGAAACCACCAGAGGCTCAATCCAGCTCTCCCAGCTTTCTGCTGGGAAACCTGGGCTCGCTGTGCTCACCCGGCTGACCGAGGGCTGCACCACCACGGGTTTAACTGAGCCCCGCCTGGCCTTGGAACAGGAGTTTTCAAAGGCATGATCCCAAGCTATTACTAAGAATAAACCGAATTCAAAATTTTATTCCCATTCACTTACAGACAGCACCTCCAGACACTGGTACGGGGACAGCAAGAAGGCTGGTTTCAATAGCAGAGTATTTGTCTGTTTAGAAAACGTACGCGCATATACCATGCACACACATATACATACACATAGATAAATATACACATATATATACGTAAACATACACATATATACATATACATATATGTATATATACACACATACATATATAGTCTTTAACAGACAAGCCAGCTTCCACCGCCCTTACGGCTCCCGGCACGCCGCGGTTGGGCAAGCCGCCAGTCCCGCACGGCCCGGCTGCTCCCCCCAGAACCCCCAAGCGGCCCGTTCTGCCCCTCCCCGCGGGCCTCCCCCCGATCCAGTGCTCCCCCCGAGCTTCACCGTGCGCTGGTGGCCGTGCGCCGCCGCCGCCATGTCGGCCGTAAGTGAGCCCGCGCTAGCCCATGTCCCTTTAAGGCACGGCACCCGCGCGGCGCCTCGCTTGATTGACATCCCAGTCTGCCAATGAGAACGGAGAAGCAGGGGGTAAGCCCCGCCCCACCATCCGCTCAGAAATGAGTGATGTGTCAGTTGCCCAATAAGAAAAGAGCAAGGGCACTGTTCAGCCAATGGAAGAGTAGAAGCCGATGAGGGCGGTGCTACCCCCGCACTCAGTCTCTGGGGCAGGGGGGCGGCGCGTGGGCCCGCGCGGAGGGGGGCGGGCGGAAGAGGCCGGTCTTTGTCAGGGGAGCCCCCGCGGCCCGACCAATCAGAGCACGGGGCCGCGCCTCCGCCCGGCGCAGTGCGGGGCGCCCGCGGCGCGATTGGCGGCGGCGGGGCCGGCGGGGGCGGTGATTGGGCGGCGGCGTTCGAAGGCAGGTTTGGCGCGGGGCGGCGATTGGCTGCGCGGGCGCAGCGCGAGCCCGGGCCCGGGGCGGGCGGAGGGAGGGAAGGGCGGGGGGCGCGCGCGGGGTGACGCCGCCGCCGACACAAGGGGGACGCGGGCGGCGCGCGGGGCCCAGCGCGGCACCGGCACCGGGAGCGGGGCGGGGGCGGCGGCTCCTCCTCGGCGGCCCCTGCGGCCGCTCCGTCCCTCGCTCCGGCGGCACCTCCCCATTCCCCTCCCTCGGCCCGCCCGTGTCCGCCCCGCCGGATGGCGGCGGCGGGCGCGGCGGCCGCCCCGGCGCTTTATGCGTGCACCAAGTGCAACCAGCGGTACCCGTTCGAGGAGCTCTCGCAGGGCCAGCAGCTGTGCAAGGTTCGGGGTGGAGCGGCCCGGCCGGGGCTGTTCGGGGCGGCGGGCGGGGGCGGTGCGGGGCCGGCCCGGCCGGGCAGTAACGCGGCTCTTTCCTCCGCAGGAGTGTCGCATCGCCCACCCCATCGTGAAGTGCACCTACTGCCGCTCCGAGTTCCAGCAGGAGAGGTACGGCGGGGTCAGGCGGTGTGCGAGCGAGTTTGCGGGAGCTGGGCCTGTTGGGAGCAGAGAAGACCGAGAGGGGATCTCGTCAATGCACACCGATATCTGAGAGGCGGGTGTCAGGAGGGTGGTGCCAGACACTTTTCAGTGCTGTCCGGCGACAGGACAGGGAGCAACGGCCGTAAACTAAACCACAAGAAGTTTCATCTCAACACGACGTAGAACTTCTTTACACTAAGGGTGGCACAGCACTGGAACAGGCTGCCCGGGGAGGTCATGGAGTATCCCTCTCTGGAGACATTCAAAACCCGCGAGGACACGTTCCTGTGTCACCTGCTCCAGGTGACCCCGCCTTGGCTGGGGGGGTTGGACTGGATGATCTCCAGAGGTCCCTTCCAACCCGAACTATTCTATGATTCTGTCCCTTCCAACCCAAACCGTTACGTGGTTCTGTTTGCTGGTAATTGCGTGGAAAAGAATGTTAAGGTTTGTGTGTTTGTTGCCACATTCACCTTTGTACCGTTTCATCTTTTTAGCAAAACCAACACAATATGCAAGAAATGTGCCCAAAATGTGAAGCAGTTTGGAACGGTAAGTAGGTTCTCGGTTCTAAGTACTGAAGTTAATTCATTTGTGCTTTAAACTGAAAAAAAAAAAAAGTTCTCATGCAACTAATCTTCTTATTTTCTTCTGGGAAAAAAAAATAAACCCAGAGATTGCCATTCAGAAAGGTGATGGAAATGTCATTTCTGTCTCTTGATTTCCTCTGTGGGTTACAGTTCCTTTTTTCAACTTGAAATCCATTGGGGTTATATGTAGCTTAAAGATTAGGAATAATTTCAATGTAGCGACTTGTAACAAAGCAAAGTTATTTCACCTCACACATGTGAAGTTATTCCCTGTGTATTCTCATAAGCACATGCTTGATGACAGGGAGACCGTTAGCCCTCTCTGTCCTTAAGGGGATGTAAATGTGAAAATCGAGTAATGCTGCATACTTTATATTGTGTAAGTCTTGAAAAAAGGCATGTTAATCGTGTTAAGCTATTAAGTAGAAAAGATTTTGAGTATTATCTGCATTCATGTTACTTTGTGGTTTCTCATGTTGAATTTCAACTTCAGTTCTGCTGGAAAAATGAATTTTTCTGTTATGTGAATACCCACATTGTATCTGAGCCACCCTGCAGATACGAGTTTGTAGGAGGTATCAAGATAATCTTGTTGTGGAACAAAAGGGCGTAATTTCTCCAGGCTTGACATAAACCATAATAGATGAAATTCAACTTATTTGAGAAATGTAACAGCTGTTGTTATGTAGTCAGGCACTTTGTGAATATATATGTAAACTGAACAAAGAAATACTTTGGAAAAGCTTAAAGTGTAGCAAAATGAATTGCAGGACAGATCCAACAATGATTTTTTCAGTAGTTCGTCAAAAAAACAGAACTGCATTGAGGATAATCAGCCATTTCTAACCTATGAAAACTGACAGCAATTTCATTTTCCAGCAGCATATTAGTCTAGTTGAACATATGATATAAAAGTTGATAACCTGACCTGGTGGTATCTGAAGTTGGTTTTTGATTGTTGTTGGTGGTTTTTTGTTTGTTTTGTTTTTTTAAGTTTCCTGCAGAATTGCAGGGATCAGGATACTAATCTTGGAACTGTAGTGTTATTGAATCCCTGAGTGTGAAAGGGAGAGGGATGCCTTCAGAAACTTCCAGTCTAAAAAAATGACTTGATTACTCTTCTTTTAAAGTTTCTGTAAGTAATTTCTCTAGGAATGTAGTAAAGCTGAGAGGAAATGTCATCGTATTTAAAAAAATAAAACATCAGGTGTAGAGGTGAGTAATCAGATAGTTGTGTGTGTTTCTTTTATTTAGTATGCATCTGGATTTTCATGAAAAGTCCAGACTGGTTTTAACCACTGAAGAAGCATCATTTTAGGGGAAAGGTTTAGTACTGAAGATAGAAATGGTAGGAAAAAAGTTCTTTAAGATAGGTTATATGAAGCCTTAGTAGTTTCAAAGCATCATTTTGTGGTTTGAAATACCTGTCTTCATTACAGAAAATGCAAATGTATTGATTTCAGTTCAACTTATCTTTTTTTCAGCCCAAGCCTTGTCAGTATTGTAACATTATTGCAGCATTTATTGGCACAAAATGTCAGCGTTGCACCAACTCGGAGAAGAAGTATGGCCCACCTCAGACATGTGAGCAGTGCAAACAGCAGTGTGCTTTTGATCGAAAAGAGGAGGGAAGAAGGAAGGTAGGCTTTGTTCCACATTTGTAGTGGCTTAGGCTGACAATAGACAGTATTTCTGGTTCGTAAGGGAAAGACTAACAGGAATGTATTTAAGTTCTCTAATATTAGATTTAAATTTCATATCTTGGCAATTGTTATGTGAGGTACTGAGCTAACTTACTTTAAATTAAATCACTTTCTAAAAATAGGCTTAAGTGTAAGCAGACAGTTGTAGCTGGGGAACAGAAATTAAGTGGCTGAACAGTTCCTGATGCTTTGATATTTATTTTATTTTTATTTTCTCAGCCATTGGATCTTATCTATGTCCATAACTTGAATCTGTCTCTTTACCTCTTCTGATTTGCTTGCCTTGCCTTAAAGTACAGCACCAGAGGCGTAGACTGCTCTGAGTAGCCCTTTGTGTTCTGTTTTGTTAAATAGCTTTGGTGAGTGCCACTTTCTCATTCCAGAAGGTGCTGAGGAAATGACCTCAAAAGCCTCTTGACTGAACTCAAGGATAATACTGCTTTTACAGAAGAGTTTACTTGGTACCTGTCAAACGTTGGCTGGACATCTTGTTTCTGCCTACAGTACGATGGGTTGAGAGAAGGTGCATGGTGTCTAAAAAAGATTTGTCCTTTTAAAAAGTTACTGTCATTTATGCGACATAGAGCAAGTCCAATATTTGCTAGGACTCTTTGTAGCATAACTTTAAATGACAAACAGAAATGGGGTAAGATTCAGTAGAATCTTTACTAAAAGATAACTTGCAGACATTGGAGGTATAGTAGTGATGTTTCATACCAAAAAGATGTCTGTGTTTTTCCCAAAGATAACAGATGAAACAATTTTTTCTTGCAAATATTGAGCACATGTCTAGTGCAAGTGTACTTGGAAATAAACCCCTCTATGAATTATTTCCCAAAAGGTTGATGGAAAGTTGTTGTGCTGGCTCTGCACGCTGTCCTACAAGAGAGTGCTGCAGAAGACGAAAGAACAGAGGAAGAGCCTAGGATCTTCACATTCTAACTCCTCATCCTCATCTCTTACTGAGAAAGACCAGCATCATTCAAAACACCACCACCATCACCACCATCATCATCGCCACAGCAGCAGTCATCATAAGTAAGTATTTCAAAAGTTAAAGTAGCTGTTGGTAGCTCTTCATCTGTGTTCTGTTTGTACTGAGATAAAATCAAAGTTAGTATAAAAAGCTGTTTGAAACATGGTGTCAAAAGCAGTAGCGGAATGTTGCTCTTCCGTGGCCTGTCAAAATCCTTGTATTCTTACCGTTTGAGTGAAGGGAGTTTAGCAAAAAGCAGTTGAAAATTGGTTAAAATTGGTAGCAAGTCTAGAAAAAAGCTCACGGAATGGCTACAGAAACAAGTTACTTAGTGGTAGACTGGATTTAGTTTTCTAAGCAGTAACTGCTGTGTGATAACTGCTATTTTGCACGCATTTACCATGGGATAAAAGGTGTGTATTTGCAGTAAGTACAGTACAGCTGCTTCATTCAGAATGCCCACCCTGACTTACTTCACCCTGACTGATTTGTGCACAAATACTCGCAGGTAAATGGAGAAGCAGAAGCAGTACTGTGGGATTATCTTCAGTCTGGGACCAGTTTGTATCTCTTTGCTAGTTTTTATAATCAAATCTTGCTGGAATAGGCAGTTTGTGGGTGGCTGTGATAATGACATAGGGTCATAAGACTGTTAGTTCAGTTAGTGTCACTCTGATAACCTTTGATGTAGTATTGTCCCATCTTCTGCATCTTTTCTCAATATGTCATCTGTGGCCATGGCATCAACAGCATACCAACCTTAACCTACATAACCAATTTATTTAGCTGTAAACCCTAGAATTCATTTTTGGTTTTATACTGCCATAGTAGTAGTCACAATTCTTATTTTCATTGGTAGGCTTATGACAGCATAACTTTAGAACTACTTATTTTTTGTGCTGGACAGTAAATGCAGTGGCTGCAATGGTAATGACCCTAACCTCAGACACACAGACTTTGCTTCTAAACTCCATGTTTCCAGTGCTTATAGTTTTTCATCTTGACTGAAACTTGCCTAAGTGTGACTTAAAGATAGAAGCAAAATAAACTGGAATCATATTTGGAATGAGGAAAAGGGAAATGCATATACTTTCACTTTAAAAAAGAGAAAAATGTGATTTGGGTTTTTAGGAATTTGAAGATGAAAATTATTCTTGTCATGCAGAGAGTTATTGTACTGTTCCTGTTCTTTCAAATCTGCTGAAAATTAAGTTATAGCAAGTTAAATCTAGTTTAATGCATGTGGCAGAGGTATAGTAAGGATTAAATAAAAAAATAGTTAGCTCTTTACTACAGAATAGAGCTTCTGATATACTCAAGAGTTGTAACAGTAAGCATATCTCTATACAGATCATAATGTTCCTGGCTTCCCACCTTTTTTTTTTCTGTAGGCTGCCATGGGTCTATTGCTTCTGGTCCAGTCAATATGACTCTTTTTCCCTGTCCGTTTCAGTTATTGCTAATTTCAGGCAATAGAGACAGTGAGGTAGAAATACAGATTCTTTGAACTGTTTCACTCAGTGCAATCTTCTACATTCCTATATCAATGCTCTTCATTAGTTGCTTTTGAGATGATTGAAAGCAAATTGTTACACATGAGAAGTAGTTATTTTCAGGGATCCAAAACTTAATTTTGCTCTTACGCCACCACACGAGCGCTGCTTCGTGCAGTGTTCATATGGCAGTATGGAAATCCCAGGAGTGCTGCTTTAGACTGGCTTGCCGAGTATGACATTAGCAATACAGAGTTCACAAGAATCAGGAGGTATCAGCAAAAAAGTTTAGCCATCAGTGTTGAAGTGTACCCCTTGTGACTTACAATAGTATAGATATTTAGCCAAGAAATACCTTCATAACATCCTGACGTAGTAAAGCGTGATCAGGAATACGACAGATAGTATCAATGTCTAGCTGAAAATTCATAAATGTTCACTTCTTTATTAGGAAAAAAAAGGTGGGAGGTTTTTTCTCAAGTACAGATACCATTCACATAAACGTAGAAATAATGGCATGTTTGGTCAGTTACCAAGTACATTTCACATATTTCAGAATCAGCAATCTGAGTCCAGAACAAGATCAGGGACTATGGAAACAGAGGTAAATATGATATTATTTATTAATTTTCTTTTCATTTATCTTGCAGTTTTCATTTAAAGAATTTCTTTTTTCTTGCATTTCTGGCTAGTCTCTAGCATTCCAGCTAGGAGCATGAGTTAGTTATTTTATATGTACCAAATGGTGATATTAGAGAGTTACATAGTATGAGGCTTTAGGTTTACATTTTGTTTGATTTCAGCCATAAATCCTCTGCAGCTATTCAGAATGAAACTCCAAAGAAAAAACCCAAACTGGAATCCAAGCCATCAAATGGAGATAGGTAAAGTTATATTTTTGTAAAGCTGAGCCATTTCTACCAAATAAAGCACTGATTTGTGGCCAGTTGCCTTTTTTTTTTTTTTTGTCTGAAGAATGAGGGAGGTGAAACTATTGTCTAGCCAGATGGATTATTGGGTGGCATCTGAGTGCTGTCAGTCAATTAAATTACTTTATTAGCAGAAAACTAGCACTGTTTTCCTGCTTTTAAGCTGTTTGGAGCAAAATTAAACAAAGTTTGTATACAAGGCAACAGTTATCAACCAAATGGTATTCCTTGACATCAGTGTTTTGTCAATTAGATGGCAGGGTTGAACCTGCTGCTTTAAGCTGACCCAGTATCTAGGGAATTCTTTTGGACCTTAATGTGGGAGACTGAATCTTCATTCTGTCTCTGACCAAATAGTTGGAATAAAAGTGGCTGCTTCAGTCAAAAAGTGTTTGTCCCCCTCAAAGCTAATACTGAATTATATTTCTGCAGGTGTATGTAATGTGTGCCATTAGTAAGGTAATTTGCCAGTTGCATCCATTTCTGTCAGGTACATACTTTTTTTGCATTAGTCCTTAAGGATGTTTGTGGAATTATTAATTATCCAATTTGAAATAAAAAAAAATAAACTGGGTTCTTTTGCTATTGATGTTGTAAGTAACTATTGTCTTTTACTTTTGATAGCTCTATAAATCAGTCTGCAGACAGTGGAGGGACTGACAACTTTGTCCTCATAAGTCAGCTGAAAGAAGAAGTAATGTCACTTAAACGTCTTCTGCAGCAAAGAGATCAGACTATTTTAGAGAAAGATAAAAAGGTAAAAGTTGCACCTGCTTAATAAGAACTTCATAATTTTGTTTTCTATTTTGTAGACTCCTAACAATGTCAAAACAGTGACATAAACCAAAAATCAGATGCAGTTGTTCTGTATAGCAGCTAATCAGATCTTACCATTTAAAGAACAAGTTTGAGACTTCTGTGTCATGAATATATTTTAGCTCTAAGTCAAAGAGGAATTCATCTTGCCTCACTTCAGCCACCCAGAAGTTTGCCTGTTTCTCAAGCTGCATGCCATAGGCGATGGATAAAATGCCAGACAGTGGTTTGCCTGCTTTACATGTTCTAAACTGAGTCATGACAAAAAGCAGTGACCATTCTGAGTTTAGCATAGTTTTTATTTAGTTTTAAACTAAAGCAACTATAGCCACAGCAAGTCAATGTCCAAATTTACATTGTATTGTATTAATATTAAATGTTTTGTTTTTATAACAGTGATAGCATATGTAGTGTAGGATGTCCAGTCTTTGTGGTGGTCGGAGACTAAAAGAAAAGCTTGGATTAAATAGATGTCAGTCAACAAAAGTTAAGTGAAATAGTCAGGCCCAAATGGCTGCAGTGAAACTCTTAGAAAAGATTCACCCTTCAAACAAACTAATGACTAACAAGAAAAGAGAAATAACTACAAATGTGCACTTTGCTTTGCGCTTCTTAGTGCTTATTTCTCTGCCATCTGAATAACTAGATGCTTTTAAGACGCTGTAACAGTGGCTCTAGAATATCTGTTCAGGATTGAGTAGGTTATGGAATTGTATTAAAAATAAATTTACTATATTTTCAGATAAAATTTTGATTTTCAGGGCGTGGTGGCCTGTCAAGACATTGATGGTTAGGAAAGCCTCCTGAAAGGAAAAGTGCTTCCACTTTTAAACCATAGTTCAGTATCTTCATTTCTACGCTTAGATGTGTTTTGTAAAGGATATTGAACCTATTTTCGTTTATATCACTTGCAGTATACCTAGGGTTGGAAGTACTTGCTATTTCAAGTCTTTAACTGTTTAACGTGAAAGAGCTGAGCAGTCTGTCATGGGTTCTCTTTACATATTTTCTTCAAAGGACAGACGTTAGGCCCTGATCTGTTTCTTATAAAGCCAGGAGAAGATCATGAGTCAGTAGGAAATTCAGTTGTCTCTTTTTAGTTTTAATCTATGGGGCAAAGCTAACAAAAAGGATAGGTAAGAAAATGTAACCAGCTTCTGCATAACCACTGCAGTGACTTGTTTTGTGCTGTTCCCATAGGGAGAGCATCTAATAATTTTAATATCCCCACTGCTAAAACTGTTTATTTCACCTCGGAGTTCTTTGAACTTAAAGACTCCTTCAGGCATGAGTTCCTCACTTTTAAAATGTCACTTTCTGCAGCTGCTACGAGGAGGAGAAAAGCTGAACATATTGTACAATGTTTGCGTAGCTGAAAAATTTACAACAAATGAATGCAGTGCAGGTTCAGTTTGGAGACATGTACTGTGTAAAAGCCTGAGCCAGACCTGTGGGAGATTCCTGTTAAGGTTGTGTTTCAAGATTTGTTTAGGGACAGCATTTGAACGGTTTGGAATGCTCCAAAAGGAAAACTTCTGAAATGTATAACGTAGCAACAAAAACAACTCCGTACACCAGCTTTGCAGACAATCCTCATTCATCATTTTTTGTTATGAGTCAGGATGTCAGCCATGTCATTATCGGTGCTTATTGTTTGCAGTACTAGCCTTGTTTGTCTTTCTGCACAAAATGTTAGTGAGACAACAAAGCATTACCATGGAGCCCTGAGACTTGATTATTAGGAAAAGATTACAGTTTGCTGAATGTTCACAGGTAGTGTGCTTACTCATCTGGTTGCATACTTTGCTGTGGTGCAACACTACCACTAGGTTTTTTTGATATGTAGTGTGTGGTGTGTGGCTTTGCATTGGATCCCCTGCAATTTACAACAGCCATAAAGTGCATACCTAGAGCAGCAGTCTGGGTACAGGGAGCTATAATATACCATTCTATCAACATACCTGCACTTGACCATTTGATTGACAGTTCTTTTGAATACCTTGTTTCACTATATGTGGTTTGACAGGTACTGAGGTTGGTAATAGCAGTCTCAGTGCATTAGTTCAGGAGTGCATACTCTGGTTTGTTATGGCATGCATCTTTGCTAGCAAAGAGGCTTCATTTCCTGATAAATCCAAATTGACCAGAGAGGTTCAGAAGAGCCCCGTGAGTTGGGATGCTTTGAAGAACTAAACTTTTTAAAGAAGTGATTCCTAAAACTTCTAAGTCCATATACAGCAAACTGTTAGTAGTTCACCCAGCTGCACGTGCTTCTAGAAGAAGCATTCAGCACTTGGATAGAAGCATATATCACACTTTAGAAACACATGCCTCAGTGTATGTCACCTGAATCTCTGTCTCTCTCAGCAGAGACCCAGTGGCAGCCATACTACATCGTACACAAAAGTTAAGTTGAAATTACATGTTACCAATAATGCAGTTTAATTCATTGTTATGGATCGAGAAGCAGTGAAACTTGGGAATGTAAACTTCTGTCTAGGACACATTGTAGCATAAAATGACACAAAAGAATCCTTTATACTGTCTTTGTATGGAAGATTTTTCCTATGTTACCATACCATATAAATGAGACACGTAACTGAAGATTTTGCTGAGGTTTAGCCTTCTGTATACAAAATCTTGAGCAAATAGCATGGTTACATAAGTACAGTTGTTTTCTTCATTTAAAATATATATAGATACTTTTCAAAGTGCTTCTGAAGTGTTGAGCTGTTAATACTGCAATAGTAAATAAATACAGTGTTTCCTGAGATTCCTGAGGCTTCCATAAATATTTCACAGACTGATCAGAAGCCATGTACTGTAGCAGTTCAAGGAATCTTCATAGCATTTGTGTTTTCAGTTGACAGAACTGAAGGCAGACTTCCAGTACCAAGAGTCTAACTTGAGGACAAAGATGAACAGTATGGAGAAAGCTCACAAGGAAACTGTGGAACAGTTGCAGGTGAGTAATTGCTTATCAATACTTGAGAAATACTTCATGTGGAGTTATATATTCAAGCTGTTCAGTCAGCTTGTTCACTCGGCATTTTTCACTACAATACAGTAGTTCCAAGTACTTGAGTGGTCGTTGCCATGTTTAACTTTGGATGCATTGTACAGCAGTTCTGCAGTCAAAAGACAATGTCCATATGAATTAAACTCATTCTAGGAATCTCTTTTTCACTTCAAGAGGTAAAGGCTTTCTCAAAGGTTATGTTATTTTTTTCTCTGACAATTTATCAGTTGTCGTTGGGCTATGGATCCAAATTAAGGGCTCAGCATTAACACATTGACAGTTAGATGTCTGTTGGTAGAGCATACCTTACCAAGAAGAAAGTCTGAATTAGTTGCCTGATAAATCACTGACTTGATGCAATACTGGATATACTAAATTTTGCAGTACAGAAAATGTAGTTACTTTTTCTGTTAAAGATGGAATATGCATATCAAAAAACATATACAGATCTTTGGAGAGTGATCATTACCTTTTTTGAATATTCTCAGCATGTACATTTTGAGAATTTGTTCATAAATGCAATAGAAAATCGGTACATGACACTACTATAGGAAATGTTTCAGTAATTCATACTTTTTTTTGTCTGTATTGCAGGCCAAAAACAGAGAACTGCTCAAACAGGTTGCAGCATTGTCAAAGGGTAAAAAGTTTGATAAAAGTGGAAGTATCCTTACATCTCCTTGAGGAACTGGTTATTCGTGGGGTTTGCTGCTCAATGTACATTTGAGTAATTCTGTGAAGCCCTTAAAATCCTGTGTAGTGGAAAAAATATTTTTGCACACCAGATTAGTTGGCATGTTTCCTACATGTTTTTATAATTAATATGCAGCTTTTTTTAGTTCCTGTTCAGATGAAATACTTCAACTGGATTGAAGAATGTTTTTATTTTTTTGATATTGGAAACTTTCTGCCAGCAATAGTATTAAACAATTGCATAGAGAACATTGCAGTGCTTTCTCTAAAAGGACAACATGCAATAACAAACTAGGTGTACTTTTTACAAAGTAGCAACTGAGTCTTTTAAACTACACTGATGTCAGCCAAACGTTTATGAATCTGCAGTGACACTGAACACTGGTTTCTGGCAACTGTTCTTTTACTTTGTATCAAAATATAAATTTAGAATGGAAATCATGGTGCTCTCAAACTCAAAAGAGGCATTTATGTATGTGTAAATACGACTGTAATGGTTATATTCTTAGTTATAACAAGTAATTAGTGTTTTACATTCTTGTGATAGGGATTGACAGAAAGATTATCTATTGTACAGTAACAGAGGCAGTGTGGTTTTTGTAAGATTTACTGTAGATTTTTCTTGCAAGTGCCTTTCTCCAACTGTTTATTTATAGGAATGTTGGTATTTTGTACATAAGGTTTTTATGTTTTAAAATCATGTTTAATAAATGTTTTATGTAAATATAAATGTGTGTACAGAGGAATCTGAAACAAAGATCAAAGTGGCTAGTGCAGTGCTCAAAGCAGCATTAAGAGCTAGCTAGCTAATTGATGGACAGTGAATTTGGCTTTAGATAACTGTCGTAGCTTGTGTCTGTGAGGTGTAGAATTTTGTTAGTGCTGCTCATGCCGAACATTTCCTGAACAAAAAAACCAAATTATTTTTTTTTCCACGCTGGAATTTTGTGTTTTGTTTATAAATTTTCCCCATTTGGCACAGCACCAATTTTAATTCCACAGCAGGCATTGTACTCCCAATGTTACATCCTTAACTAGGGATATACACTCAAAGTTTTAAAAACGTTTATTTCCCATTGTTGTCTGAGTTAATGTACTTAGTTGTAACTTATGGTGATTCTCCTTAATAAATTGCAAGGTTCACATCTGCCAGTAAAGATACACAATGAGAAAAGAGTAGCCAAAACCAGTGGCCTTTAAATTAATTGAGTGGACGTAGCGTCAAAGGGTGGGTTGTTCTAATGTTTTGGGTGGATTTTGATTCTAAATTATATCAATTTAAATTTAGCTCTGCTCCCAACGGACATTAGTCATATTCAGAAATTTCTATTAAACAATAATTTAGTATACCCCAAGGTCTCTGTTCAGGAAGGTAAGTTATGAATCAGCATAAAGGGAAGTAGACTTAGGTGGGTGAAGGTTTAGGTCAGCTCTGGGTACTGGCTGGTAACAGGGTAGCTGTTGATATTTCAGTAAGCTTAATTGTGTAAAAGCAGCTACACATTTTTAATTAAAGAACTAAAATCTATAGTCCTTTGGCTTTTCACCCAGGTACTGAACTATGAACACCTTTTCAATAGCTTAAATGAGTTCCAGCAGTGACAGACTACTGAAAAATATGAAAAACTCAAGCTACCTTGTTTCATATGGTATATGTGTATTTTTATACCCTAAAATCAACTTTGTATGTTTATAAATGCTCTTCTTTAAACTTACTGAACTAGGGTAGAGAATGCTACTATTCTTTGGGGTTGTTATTAATTTTTTAAATATACAAATTTATGACTTTTATTAATTCAGAATTAGTATTTGGGTCATTTTTTTCCAGTTGAGTGGTGACCCAGGTTTGATGAAATTGGTTTTAAAATACAAAAATGCATAGCAAAATGAAATGTTCGAATTAAGGTTACTTAATGATATCAGTTCAAGCCGCAGTCAGGACATTTTAAATAAACAAACTGAAGTTCTGTATTAGAAGTAATCGACTTCATAAATCTCAGAAAAATTTTTAGGAGCTTCACAGTGTTTAGTTCTTATTAAATACCTGTGGGTATTCTTCCATAATCTAATTTTTAACATTAATTTTTTAAAGTTGTTAACTAGCCAAGTGAATCCTGGTCCTGAGAATCATGTCCTGGAGCTGTAGATTACTGACATAATAAACAGATGTTCTTGAAACGTGGATCTGCAAGGAGATTGTTGTACTGTATTGTGCTTTTTAGCCTGTTTCCAGATGTTGATTAGCATTGACCAGTAATGGCCATTTTGGGTCAGGTTATTTATGTATTTTAAGCCTGTGAATATTGCGACCCCCTTTTAGATAGTATGTCTAAATACTTGTTCTGCAGTGAAGCTATTCAGCTGTCCACATGTATAGACTATTGAAATACTGTACTGGCACACATCTGACCGTTGACATTTTGTACCTTTTCTAAATCCAATGTTTCACAATAAAATCTTGTCAAAACATTGATCTCTCCCTTTAAAATTATTCATAAATCCATATTTTGTGTTAATCTTTCATGCTATGTCACTCACTAAAAATCTGTGGCCAAAAAAGGGGCAGAATTTAATATTTAGGTTTCTGTGAAGATTAGACATCTTGGATTGTCTACAACTTGTAACAAATTAGGCTTCGGATTACTTTGTCTCATGAAAATATTTTTGTTTTCTACAACAGAATTATATATAATACATAGAAATATTTTCTTGTAGAGAAGAAGAAAAAAACGTGAAGGTTTGACTGAAATGCCTTCAACAAGCTTTTTGCATACTGATTAGCATCAGCATTTGTGTTTAAAAGTACCTGAATTTCAGTCTTATTCTGTTAACTATAAAGTTGTTCTTCCTTTACATTCGCTGTACGAGTTGGATGATTCTGAGATTTGAAACGACATTTGTAATTTCTTTGTGTGTTCCCTTTCTTGTGTCAGGAGGAGTTAGGTGCCCAAAGCAACACCCTGCTGGCTGTCAGTCACAGTGGCTTCTAGTGCAGCACAAATTGTGCTGCAATTTGTAGGTCTCATTTTAAATTTTCCTCAACGATCAATCTTCATCTTTCCACAAGCCAGAAGAATACTTCTCATTCAGGAATTAAAGTTGAAAGTAAAAAATAATTAAAAAAAAAATCCCCATACCAATAAGAGAGTAAGATTCTGTATCTATTTGGTCTAGAAAGGGGGAATCTTTGTTTCAAAGCGTCTTGAAACAGTTATTATTTTATAGTAGTTATAGTAATGAACAATATGCTAGTCTAATATTGGATTGTTCTTAGCCTCGTTTTAATGCAAACTTGAAACAGCAACTTTGAAGCCACTTATTTCTAAAGCTGAGTGCAAGTCAAAACCATGTGTGGTACCTAGTTTAGGCATGGCTTTCATGTGACACATGCAAATGTGTGTAACTGGCCATGCAACTGACTGAATCCTGAAAAGAGGTTTGCATCATTTGAAGCAAATTTCTTTAAAGAAAATTTAAATTTACATAACTTTTGTGTGGGCATTCAGGCAGTTCTTAATGGTCTTCAGTAGCTTCAAAAGCTTTGAATCCAACACTGATTTTTTTGAAAACAGTGATGTTTATGATGAGAAACTATAATCTTTAACTTTTTGAAATGGAGTAAAACCTGTTCATTTGTTTTTATTCCTTCAAATGAGTTACTAAACATTGATACTGCAATAGAAGATACATTTTCTCATATATTATGTGCAATTGCTCTAGCTGTCCTCATGGAAGAGGTACAGATATATGGAATTACTTCTGTTGAATCCCACAGAAGAAGTCAGGGCTATCAGACAAGGGGATTTTAGAGGTGGAAGGAGGAAATGTTTGTGGTGCTCCTTGGGAAAGAAGGAGGGTAATGGAGATGAGAGGGCTAATGGGGAACAGAGACCTCTGAGATACCATGTTACTTGTGTGATGTACTGAATCACACGGTTGGGGTTTTTTTAAAGTTACATATTTTTCATGTGTGTGAAATGCAGCATTGCTTAAGGGAGTCTTTTGTTTTGCCTGTTCCAATGCTTGTCAAGACTCTCCATGAAGAAATGTTTCCTAACATCCAACATAAACCTCCCCTGGTGCAATTTGAGGCCGTTTCCTCTCATCCTATTGCTTGTTATTTGGCAGAAGAGGCTGACCTCCACCTGGCTACAACCTTCTTTCAGGTAGTTGTAGAAAGTAATATTGCTTCCCCGATCCTCCTTTTCTCCAAGCTAAATATCTCCAGCTCCCTCAGCCGCTCCTCATAATGTTCCAAACCCTCCAACAGCTCCATTGGGTTACAGTGTTACAGTGTCTCAATGCCTTTCCTGAAGTGAGGGATCCAAAACTGGATACAGGATTTGAGACAGGGCCTTGCCAGTGCCAAGTACAGAAGGACAATCACAGCCCTGGTCCTGCTGGCCACACTATTGCTGATACAGACCAGAATGCCATTGGCCTTCTTAGCTACCTGGGCACACTGCTGGCTCATGTTCAGCTGCTGTTGACCAGCACCCCCAGGTCCTTTTCTGCTGTGACACAAGTGCAGGATCTGGTACTTGACCTTGTTGCACCTCATACAATTGGCCTCAGCCCATCAATCCAGCCTTCCTGCTCTCCAACAGATAAACACTCCCACCCAACTTAGTGTCATCTGCAAATTGACTGAAGGTGCACTCGATCCCCTCTCTTAGGTCATGAATAAAGATATTAAACAGAACTGGCCCCAGTACTGAGCCCTGGGGAACAGCCCTCGTGAACAGCTACCAACTGGATGTGACTCCGTTCACCACCACTCTCTGGACTTGACCCAGCAAAGAGGGCACCTGTCCACACCATGAACAGCTAGTTTTACCAGGTGAATGCTGTGGAAAACAGTGTCAAAGACTTTACTAAAGTCCAGGTAGACAACATCCACAGCTTTTCCCTCATCTACTAAGTGGGTCATGTTGTCATAGAAGGAGATCAGGTTGGTCAAGTAGAACCTGCCTTTCATAAACCCATGCTGGCTGGGCCTGGTCCCCTGGTCGTCCAGCATGTGCCATCTGATAGGACACAGAATGATCTGCTCTATGACCTTCTCCATCACTGAGGTAAATTTCATGATCACCGTGCTCAAGACAGCCTCCAACTGTCTTATAACATCTGCAAGAGTGGAGTGAGCACTCAGTACCTCCTATTACTTGAATGGCATGTTGCTATTTTGCATAAAAAACAAATTACTGTGCAAGGTGAATTTGAAACTTAATTTCTGCATTCTTTGGTTGAAGATAGTTCAGTCTTTCTCCAATGATAAATATGGTCCAGTTTTTAGGGTGTGATTAGTAGTCTACAGTGCTTTTTTTCCTCTTATTTTGCCTTAAAGGTAGTGACATGTAAAGATTCTTTGGACCATGTTTACCGAAACGGATGGAATGCACCTTTTCCCTTCCTGAATGCTAAATACAGTAAGAGAAAATAGAGCTAAATAGGATGGCTGCCTACATAAGGCTAGCCACTAGATGCTGCTTAAACCCCACTGTATGTGGTTGTGTGTGCTTTCTGTGCACCAGCCAGCACCCACAGTGGATAGCTGTTCCTGTTCAAATGCAACACTGATGCTAAAATGACAATGTCCTAAATACTGAAATATAGTACTTTGTAATATATTTTTAAAAATTGGAAATTTATTTTGGAAAATTTGACATAGGATCATAGAATCATAGGATGGTCTGGGTTGGAAGGGAACTTAAAGCTCATCTACTTCCAACCCCCCCAGTGGTATTAAGCATATTTAATATAGTTAAATATAGAAAAAAAAATGGAACTGTATTGTGTTTTCTCTGATTGTTTTAGCTTAAGAAAGAAAAATCTCCATTTTACAAGTCAGGAGGCTGATCCATGAAACAATGCAGCTTAAATGCTGCCACACAAAACACAATGGTAGAATTCAAAGCAGAATCCGGGACTCCCCAGACAGTGTGGAAACTGACTATCTTTTCCCTTTGAAGAGAGTTGCTATGAATAAGTTAAAGTTTTATTCGGTTACCATAGATGTGTAGTGAATCTGTAGCATTAGTTGGCTGACTTTTCACCTATACCTTAGAAACAATTATTAAATGTAACTGATTTCTTCATAGTATAGAAAAGAATACAAAGGTGAGATTATACTTTGACTTGGAACAATAAGGCTTAAGACTTAGTGTTCTGCTTTCTTTGAGTCTGATATACTTCTAATTCAGATTTTTCCCTGTCTGATTCTGTTAGTAGATGTATTTGAAATCTTGTGACTTTATAGTGAAAGAGAGAGTTCTCATCAACATTTAAAAAGTCCAGGCTGTTTTTAACAAGTCTTGGATTCAAAAAGATGTAATTGTAGTAGAAGGGGAAAGTGTTTTCATTTGTATACTCTATAGTCGTGTTGTGTATTGTATTTATATATTCTATAAGCAATCTTAAAGAGAAAGACACGGGGAACTATAGGCCAGTCAGCTCCTTAGTACAAGAGAGTCGTGGACATACTGGATGGAGTCCAATGGAGTGGCGCAAGGATCATGAAGGGACTAGAACATCTCTCCTGTGTGGGAAGTCTGAGAGAGCTGGTACTGTTTAGCTGGGAGAAGAGAACACTTGGAGGGATCTCACCAATACAAATACGTGAAAGGAGGTGCATAGAGGACAGATCCAGGCTCTTTTCAGTGGTGTTCACTGCCAGAACCAGGGGCAATAGGCACAAACCGAAACACAGGGGGTTTCCTCTGATCACCAGGAAATACTTTTTCTACTCTAAGGATGACTGTGCACTGGCACAGGTTGCTTAGGTTGGTAGTAGAGACTCCATCCTTGGAGGAAGTCAAAAGCTCAAAGGACATAGTTCTGGGCAACTGGCTCCAGGTGGCCATGCATGAGCAATGGGGATTGCACCAGATGACCTACAGAAGCCACTTCTAACCTCAGGTGTCCTGTAACTCTAAAACCTAAACAAGTCAATAATTTTTTTTTTCTTCATCTATTAAAATGCAGTATTTTGTTACAAAAAATTAGATAAGCAATGTTTTGCTGTGTTCAGTTTTTCCCTCGCTGTGAGGGGGTTCATTTGAATGGAACTGAAAAAAAAAACCACAACATTTTTTATAATAGCAATTCTCCTGTTAGGCAACGTGCTGCTTTAGGGAAACATTTCAGACTGTGTGAATGATTGTTACATAAGCACCAAGATAGTTTAGTGAGCTTGTAAAATAAATAATTTTGCATGAAGAAGCATTTCTAAAAGCTGGTTTTGGTAGCAAATTTCAAGTAAGCAGAGCAGGAGTAACTTCCCATCTATTTCTTTCCTATTAATCTGTTGCCAGCATGATATAATTCTTATACTATGCACAATCAGAAACAAGTCTGTTTGAAAATAGCAAAGTTCCCAAGAGTACTTATCTTGCTGGCCAAATCTTTAAAGCCCTTTTGCATTATTTTGTTTTATGTTTAGTGACAGCATTCTAACTAAGTTTGGTCTGA